ATGTTGGGAAAGTGTGAAGGCAAGAGGAGAAGGGGACGACAGAGGACGAGATGGTTGGACAGTGTCATCGAAGCTACCAACACGAATTTGACTAAACTCTGGGAGGCGGTGGAGTACAGGAAGGCCTGGCGTGCTCTGGTCCATTAGGTCATGAAGAGTCAGACACAACTGAATGACAAAACAACAACAACAAAAGGTCTGCAAAAGCTGCTTTCACTAGCACCAAAAGGACAATTCTGTCCTTTGCTTCCGTATTGCATATGAATCTATAACACCTCTGTAATAATTGGTGATTAGGGATCTAATCCCAACCTTAAATGTTGGCTAAGAGTTGATTGCTTCTAGGTGAACATCAGATATGTTAATCTCCTCCAAATAAAGCAGATCTCTGAAGTACCTTGTTTCGCAACTGCCTCAGTTGTTTGCATTGAATTGTCGTGAACTATCCAGAGCTTACAAAAATTACATACAGTATTTGGACTATTAGAATCACCCAGCAAGCATAATGCTGGCCAGCGGATTTTGGAAGCTGTACTCCAAAAACAAATACCATTTCCAAGCCTTTCGTCAACCCAGTGAAAGCTTATTCCTACTTCGGTAGCTTGGGTCCACTCCCCGAGACAAGGGAGGTATGTCGCCTAGGGTTACAGCTGTAGTAAATTTACCTTGTGCAGCGTGTTGATGTCAGAGTGATGCTGCAGGGTGGATCAGCCTCTGAGATATAAAGATAGGTCAATCAAATATAGAAGGCTGCTCACTGGAGAGCAGAAGGCATTCAAAACATGGTCCCCAACAGTTCAAGCAGAGCCTCTCTGCCTTCCTTCCTGACCCAACTGCTCTCGGGCTTTAGTTTCATGTCCAAAATCTTTCTCTGCTTTCCAAAAATAAGCCACTGCCGCCATGCTGAAGGGAGAAAAACAAGAAGGGTGGTATTTTTAGGGCGGTATTTTATTAATTCTGACCACGTGCCTAGGAGGTGAACCGGATGGCCACTGCACAAAGACTTCTCATCACTATGTCCTGCGAAGCTACTGTTCACTTGACATTCCCTGCTTTTGTTCTCCTGGGTTTTCTGGCTGAGATTGTGTTACTGTACCCAGTGGTGAACAGAACAAATGGCACCCTCCTGGACAGAGGATGGGAGTCCCTCTTATCCAGGTCCCTTGCTGGAATGTCAGGGGAGAAGTCTGAAGTCAACTGGGAGGCTGACTATTTGCTAGGAATCAGGAGACAACGGAGGCTTTACTGCAACGTGGGCATTGGGTTTCATCTCCAGATATTTCCAGATGGACAGATAAGTGGTGTTCATGCTGAAAACCAATACAGTGAGTTGCATCACAATATGGAATGGTGGAATTGATGTCATATAATTGGTATTATTAGTAGAAGTGCATCTGTTGCCTTTTAGTTACGTTGTAGGATCAATCAGCACCTGAAAGCTCCAGACAGAAACATGTCCTGAATGCTTGGACAAAATTAGATACAACTTTTTTTTTACTTGGTATAACTTTACAGTTTTAGAAAAGCAAATGAGGGGTTTTTAATGCTTTTTCAAGTCTTCCTCTGCTTTGCAAGTAAATTAATTTTGCTGGAATTAGAATAAACATGACTCTTATATATACATAGGGCTAAATTCAATTTTAATTCTAACTAAGGCAGAGCTGCTGAAATGAATGGGAAATGTTAATGCAAAACTCATTGATTTCAATAGATACATTCTCATTGAGAGTAACATTAGGTTTAACCTGAGACTTGGAATCACTGTTTGTAAAACTTTGAGAATGCAGAGAAATCTTAGTGCATGAGTTAAACCCTGTATTATTGTTTGTTGATTTTAATTCTTAGAATTAAAGAGATTACTTCATACACTTATATAAGATTACACCTTATCAGCACATCTTGTGTTCATTCATTTTTTTGGTCCACACACAGGGAGGGACTTTTAGAGGGATAATTACAAATGGGCTTGAGTTTACGGGTTTGCCTTAAACACATTACAAGCTGCCCTGAGTCTGCTGCACATGCAATGATCCTAGAAGGGGCTTGCTGGCTTCTGAAGCAGCACAGACTCTATTACAACATTACAAGAGCATTTCAGCAATAGTATGTTGGCTCTGAATGCTGCTGAATACTTTCCAACACTTCACAGACGAAAACAGAGACATATATGCATTTGTTACATTTGTATGCTATACTCATACTAAGAATCTGTATATGTACATAGTTTTAATGGTTGTTTTTTTAGAATATGTATGGGCTGTCTTTTAGGGCCAAGCCTCTTTAGTCCTTTCTTCTTTCTTTACTACTAGATATTGTACCCAGCAAGAATCTTCCCAGTAATCACTAAAAACTATGCTATTGAAGTGAGAACATTTTCCCTTTAAAAATGCTGCATAGTCCCTTTCATTACAGAAAAAAAATTGATTGTAGTTAGCACAGATTGTAGTGGCAGCATAGCTGCGACTTAGATATGCAGGAAGTTTTGGAGGAAGGGAAACAATACATCAAATGCATACGTGCACATGTGCATAATGAACAACAGAAACAGAAGAAACTCCCATAAATGGCAAGCCAGAAGAAGGGACTGATAAACCACTTCCCCATAAATCAGAATCAACTTGACAGCATGTAACTATTAAATATTGTTATTAGAATGGTAGAACTAATCAGTAATCTGGATAGCAGACTAAGGGTATGGTTGGGCTGTGATATAGGAATGCATTTGATCATGCTGGAAAGGGTCACTGCTGGGAATGAGCTGCATTATACAGACTCTTCCATGTACACAGGAATCTCTCCAGCCCAGCTCCAAAAAAGTGGTGGACAAAAAAAAAAGTCTGGATTGGGCACAGAGCAGGCTTGGGTTGGCTTGCAATTTCCTGAACTTCGGTTGATCCTGGACAACAGCTCATACTCTACTGTGCCACAAGCACTCTGAAACATAAACTCTATCTGTTTGACCACACCCTTACTGTGTACCAGCAAGACAAACATGCAAAATTAAAAGACAATTATATTATGAATTCTGAAGTATAGCGGTCCTAAAGTCAAGATTGACCTCCTCCACATCAAGTACAGTTCTTCATTTGAGCAGAAACTATTGTAAAAACCTATAAGCTATTCATTCTGTTTTCTTTTGAAAATGCCTTTTAAAAGCTTCTAAGTACTGCCACTCTTTTTAAAATATATTTTTATTCAAGGGTAAGTCCCATTCAGCCCCATTTGGAGGCTCTTTTCTCAGACAAGAATAGATGATGAAACTCATCCCAAACTAGCTTTGCTGATTGATAAATCAAGTATTTGACTATACAGCTAGATTGGAGCAGGCTGGATTGGGCTAAATAAGGTTGCTAGGAGGTCCAGTATGCCATTTGATGTGATCCTTGCATCCAAATGTCAAATAGATCTCAAGTGACCTTATTTGGTCCACTTTTTTAAAATGCATATGTATTAGGTATGCACTGTTAATTTAAAAGAGTTATCTTTAAAAGCAGTGTATTAAGTAATGCACTTTTCATAATTGTCTGGTTGAGAGCCAGCCAGCCTGCTTGCTGCAGCCTAATACACATACTTAATACATAAATACATTTATTTCCCTTGTCTTAGGAGGCTGGTCATGCAACTGCCATGGCGACAGATTTGGCTGTGGGATATTTCTCAATTGGCCCTTTAAGACAAGGGAAATAAAATACTTTTAAAAAAATTGTATCTGATGAAATACATTTTTGCTGCTCTAATTGAAGTTTAAAAGAAATCATGTCCTCTACCTCTCCAATTAGGAGCAGAGGAATTTTTTAATTAGCCAATATCCTGAAGTGGTTCTCTTATTAAGCCACTTCATTTTACTGGCAAGTCAAAAGAGAAAGGCTTTTGGTTCATTCCCAGTGATTGCACTTGCTGGAAATGGACCAAAGGAGAGCAATATTACCCACAGCTGGTTCATACTAGCAAAGACGTCTGATTGCCATCTTTAGTAGCCAGCTAGCCCATCTCTGTAAGAAACCAAACAATTGGTTAAATGTTCATGTAATCAACCTCCAAGTCAATATTTCATTGATAAGCAAATAGGCCTAATACCTTAGGGAAAAGCAAGACTGAATTATTTATCACAGGGACTTTTTGTTCTGGTATATTACTGTGATAACAAAAGAAGACAAAAATCTTAAGGACTGCTCTTTCATCTAATAACAAGGATTAGCATTGTTTTTTAATTATAAGTTACCTGACATTTTCTTCAACATCTCTTTCAATACATCCCGGCCAAAGCACAGACATGGAGGCAGCCATGCTTGCTTAAGCACATGTCTGGCTCATTCATATGCAAACACCAGGTGGAAGTCTGATTTTGATAACAAAAGAGGTGCAATTTGTGGGGAGGTGATCCCTCTCTTATCTGAACCTGCTGCTGCAAGTACTTTCGTTTTGCAAGGTGGGAGGGAAAACACAACAGAGGAGAGAGGAGAGCAGCCATCTCTTCTCCTCCATGCTTCCTTTTAATACAAAAATTATACTCCCGCTATACCTTACATGTAAGCAGGGCAGACACAAGAACAAGCACAATTGCTGTGTCATGCGTGATTTGGCCCTCTAAAAAGTATCTGTACTAAGGTTTGGGCAATATTCCAAGTTATTTATGGAATTAGGGCACAACAAAGTCAAAAATAAACATTTGTGAGTAAAAATAAAATTTAAATCTCTGCTGAAAGCAAATGTCCTTCAGTTTGAGCAAATTGTACACACCGACAATGCAATTTCATGCATGTCAGAAGAAAGTCTATTATATCCCCTAAATCCAATGCTGAGCTAGTGGATATTGACTAGCATGATAAGACTTTCTCCCTCCGCCTACCACCCCATAGTTCTCCACACCAACTGGAAACCTGCTCCAGTGCAGGTTTTGAAAGCACATAGACAAGATTTCCCCCTTCTGATCCTGCTATGTGTCCATTGGACCCTGCCCATTGAGTTTAACAGGTTTACTCTCCTGTAAGTGGCTATAAGATTGCAGCTATAATGGATTAATTCCCCAGTGGGTTTCTTGGGTTTTAGCTAAATGGTAGGTAATTAATAAACTAAAACACATGAATTGGTTGTATTATTGAGCTTTAACTTTTCAGCAGTTTCTTGGGGAAAATCTGTGTTGCACAAAAATATAGCCTTATATTTAATTCCACAGTATATTTAAATGTTTCTACATTTATTTTATTAATATTTCTTGGGAGCTATAAAAAGACTGTACGTAGCCTTCATTGTATTTGTCTGCTTCTTTAGGTCTCTTGGAAATATCAACAGTAGAGCGAGGTGTGGTTAATCTGTTTGGTATAAGAAGCTCCCTCTTCATTGCAATGAACAACAAGGGGAGATTATATGGCACAGTGAGTATGGATGAAGTCTGTCAATTAACCACTAAAATAGTAATATGTGAACTTGGTATTTTACTTGGAAACTTTGTGTACTTCCAATTGTAACTGGTATCAAAGTCACTTGCAAGTGTGCATATTGCAAAAGAAATCATTATGTTGAACTTAAAACTGAATCCCATAGTATTTGCAGTGGCATTCTGTACATGCATGTATAGCTGTTGAGCATTCTGCATTAGATCATCATCATACATTATGAGCTGAATGTGTGAACTGACTTCACTGAAAAACACTTGTCTGGATCCAGTCACAGCTCATATCTAGGGCCGGGGGTGCCTTCCACCCTAGTCTATCACACACTTACATCAGGATCCAAAGAACTTTGTGGCCACTCACATCTGGATGGAAAGAACTCTGTGGCTTGACCTAAGAAATTTTTGAACTTTTTTTTTTATCTCCAACAGCAGCCTCCATGCTACATGCAAATCCTCTTTCAAAATGGTGGTAGAGACAGGGGTATTCACATCCATATATGAATACACCCACACAGCTGGATATAATGAGGGTCCAGCTCCCTAGGGCCGGACTGTCCACTCATGGATCTGCCGCCACCACCAGCTCCATTCTCCTTTCCAATCGCTCCAGAGCTCGTGGCCAACTATTGGCTCCTGGCAGAAGGAGGGAAGACGAGTCTCCCTGCCAGGCTGACGAGTGGATAGCCAACAGGGAGCTCCAGAGCGATTAGAAGGGAGAGCAGAGTCAGCACTGGCAGCGGATGCATGAGTGGATAATCTGGTCAGACCCTCGTTACATCCAGCTGTGCAGGGGTATTCATATATGAATATGAATATCTATAGAAGTTTAACATATATTATAGAATGGAAATAAAAGATGCAGAGTAAAAAAGAAGGCTAACACTAATCTGATAGTTTTACCTGTATAATTGTGATCACCCCTTCACACATGAAATTTGTCATTTGTTGACTGTTTAAGCCATTCATATGTTTTTTGCATTCACAAGAATTGTTTGTTTACATAAGAAATGCAGCATGGGGTGCCACAAGCTGCTGATGCTCACAGAGACTATGGCATCTTTCTTGATCTTTATTGCTCACAGATATTGTGGGAATCTCAGGGGCTTAATCTACATGTTTATTAACTCTTAGATCTTATTCATGGTCTCTGTGAATCTCACACATGGGTGTTTCTGTGACTATGCAAAATTCTTCAGAAGATTCTAGACCTTAAAAAGAGAACTTTTGGAATAACCCCACATACTGTGCATGTCCCTGCACTTAACAGCCATCCCTCAGTTCCCTTTAGCCGCCACTGAGGAAACTCCTAGGAACATAGACTAAGAATGGTTTTGTGATGTTCACGTCTATGAAGCACCTACTTTTTGTGCCCTCACAAAGGTTCTGGTCTTTGTTTCCCTCACTGCCACCAGTGGATTACCTCTGTCCACAATATAAAAGATGTTTGTCCAAACACTTGTCTGGTAAATGCAAACAGAATTTATTTATTGAAGTGTATCAAGGTTAATAATAATCACAGATGTTCTTCAGTTGTTCATTGTACACAAGTAAATCATTCACAGGTCTCTTTATACATACTTTCTTCATGCCATATAATTAATTACCACCTTCTCTATCTATTTATCTTAACCAGCTTAGCTCTATTAATATCTGTTCCTTCTCTCTCTGACTCTCTGACTCTGACTGACTCTCACTGACTCTCTCCTGACTGACTCTTGACTGACTAACTCCTGCTCTCAGGCTCCGCCTTTTAATCTCTCTCTCTTGGCTCCGCCTCTCCACCATATTTGCATAATGCATGAATAATACATGACTTATTTTGCACGACAAAGGGTGAACGCTACAGGTTTCTTTATTTCTTTAAGGAAATTTACTTATCATTGTCTTCATCTTCGTCATCTTAGTCCTGTCTGTGAGTTCCCATAAAAATGATTTATTTTTTTCATCATTCTAACTTTTCTAGTTCTGCGGCCTTTCCACCTTCACTGTCGTGAGGCTTTCCTGACTTTTATGGCCCTGATGGGCCCATTCCAAAAGTGTGTTTCATGCAGCAATTAAATCCTCTTCCCCTGTGGGCATTTGAAGTGTTTATACTGTCTCAGTCAGGGGCACAAGGCGCAATCTTGTCAGTGTTGTGCATGTTTAGGAAGGCTGCAATTAAGAACCCATCTTGGTTAAAATTCCACCTGTGAGAAAAATCCCCTCAGGGGAGTTGGTTCATTATCCCAGCAATCTCTCTCAGCTCCAGCAGTGTCCATTTCAGAGACACCTTCCAAACAATCCATCTCCCATGACTGCCTGAGCTGACCAGGCACCAACACAGGCTGAGGTGCGCAATAAACATCTCTCAGTTCTGAGGACGTACTGTCGACCTCAAGAGCACTTTCAGCCCTGAAGTCCAATTCTTCAAAGGCGTTGGTGACTTCAAAGTCAAAAAGGAGCCTACTAATGCAGATCAGGCCACTTGTTAAGACACCAAAACAGAAGCACAAGGCTAAAACAAATAAAGTCAAAAGCTTCAAAGATGCCTCAGGAACCCCAGACAGCCAACATCCAGATCTCAGAAAAGGAACGAAATGACCTTATTTGCTTTGGATCAGTTTTTCAGAAGACCAAGCTCACACTTCCTCCTCTAGTTTTAGTCTCCAGATTGGAGCTATGCATTCTTTTCATGAGCTTTCTCCACTATAACCAAACCCACAGTGAGAACTTCTCACATGCCAGAAATGTTCACATGAATGGTCACACAAGTCATCACTGCAGTCTCTTTCAGCACTATGAGAGAGAATCCCTCCTCATTGTAAGAGTTCGTGCAAAACCCGTCACCAACAGGAAGACACTCTGTCAGAGTCAGGAGGTCCTCACCTTTGTACTATATTGCAGTGCCCCAATTTTATCAAGGGCTATACCTGGGTCCTGAATGGCATTTCTCCCCACTATTCTTTGCTTTCGCTGAAACGCACAGGAGAAATCAGGCAGGTTCCGCTCTTTCTTTCTCACAATAGCCTTTTTCTGAAACTGATGTTTTTTGCACCAGCCTGGTTTAAACTAATGCAAATCTGCATGAAACCTCTTCTCCTCTATCTTACATCTCTTTTTTCACTTTTTTACCAGAATAGTTTTGAGAAATTTGGATAACACATTGAAAACATAGCCTGTCATTGATTAGAACTGCTTAACGTGTGGATGACATAATCACAGCTATTTCTTAGCACGTACAGTCATGTGAAGAAGAAAGTACACCATCTTTGAATTTTATGGTTTTATATATTAGGATGTGCTAAAAATCATCTGGTCCTTAGCAGGTCTGAAAATTAGGTACATAAAACCTCAAATGGAAAACAACATATAGCATATTACACCATGTCATGATTTATTTGACAAAAATAAAACCAAAATGGAGAAGCTATGTGTGGAAAAACTAAGTACACGTTATGATTCCGAGAAGCTATGTGTGAAAAACTAAGTACACGTTACAATTCAGTAGCTTGTAAAACCACCTTTAGGAGCAATAACTTGAAGCAATCGTTTTCTGTATGACTTTATCAGTCTCTCACATCATTGTGGAGGAATGTCCACTCACTTTTCTTTCAAACATTGCTTCAGTTCATTGAATTTTGCGAACATTTGTTTCTGCTCAGCTCTCTTAAGTTCCCACAACAGCATTTCAACCAGGTTGACTTTGACTGAGCACATTTCAACCAGGTTGAGGTCTGGACTTTGGCTGAACAATTGCAACACTATGATTCTTTTCTTTTTCAGCCATTCTGTTGTAGATTTGCTGGTGTGCTTAGAATCATTGTCCTGTTGCACAACCCAACTTTGGCCAAGCTTTAGCTGTTGGACAGATGGCCTCCCACTTAACTCTATAATACTTTGGTATCTAGTTTATGGTCAACACACTGACTGCAAGGTCCCCAGATCCTGGGGCTGCACAACATCACCCCTCTTGTAGTCTGTCCAGATGCAACTTTGCAAAACTAAGCTGTGCTGCCATGTTCTTTTTCAAAAAGAAGAGGTGTACTTCTGGCAACCCTTCCAAACAACCACACTTGTTCATCTTTTTCTAATTGTACTGTTATGAACTTTAGCATTTCACATGCTAACTGAGGCCTAGAGAATCTGAGATGTAACTCTTGGGTTTATTTTATTTTATATTATTTTCTGAACAAAAACAAATACAAAAATACAATTATACAAATAATAGTGTTTGCTATACACTAAATTCTACTGTGCACCCCATACCCACAGGGCCCTTTAGATTAGAACAATACTTTTATTCCAAGCTTCCTTTCCAGAATTGTATAGATTGTTGTTTAGAGGCTTTCCCCTTTCCTTTCACTAATAGAAATTCAACAAATCTACCCCAAATAGCATAAAAAATATTTGAACTTACTTCCCCTCTTTTCATCTTAAGTTCATTAGTCACTTTATTATTTAATGCAATGTCCCATACTTCATTATACCAATCTTCTAATTTAATATCATTTTTATCTTTCCAGAATCTAGCTATTAGTACTCTAGCACTTGTCATAACATTGGAAATCAATTCCTTTGAACAATAATCAAGTTCTATCTTATCAAAATTGACAACAAAGCAATTTTAGAATTAACTTTGATATCTTTTCCAAATATATCACATATTTCCTTAAAAATCAGTTTCCAAAATTTCTGAATCCATTTACACTCCCACCACATATGATAATATGTGCCAATTTCTTCATCACATTTCCAACAAGTCTTAGAATAGTCTGAAATTATTATATTCACTTTCACTGGAGTCATATACCACCTTAAACTAATTTTTTTAAATTTTTCCTTTATTCTTACCGACATTAATCGTAAAGCTGTCATCCTCCAAATTTTTATCCAATCCTCTGTTTTAATTTTGGTATTTAAATCATTTTCCCAAATTGATTTCAAACCTTCCGTTTCTGTCTCATTTTTGTCTTGTTCCAAAATTAGGTTATAAATTCTACTTACTACTCCCTTCATCAAAGCATCTTAATGCATATGATGATAGAAATTGTTCTTTCTTAGTACATTCTCTACATTTGCCATTAGTTTTCAACCATTCATTTGTCAAATTATCTAACTGGATATAATTATACAGTGATAATTTATTAGTTTGAAGTTTAACTATAATCTGATCCTTCGATCTCATTTTAATCATCCAATCCTTCAGTCTGGCAACATTTGTGTCCTTAAACATATTAGTTAAACCCTTCAAGTTTGCTGGGAAATTTTCTATTTCGGTCACTAATTTTACTGGTTAATTTCAGTATTAACTATCTTAGAAATTAAATCTTGAGATGTGAATATAAATATAAAAATATAAAATATAAAATATAAAAATAAGTATATCTTCTTTCATTACCCTCCAAATATCCTTCAGTTGATTATTTTTTACCTTCTTGCTCAATATTGTGTTTCTTTGAAGAAGAACATTCCGATCATAAAAAGTTTTATCCTTTATCTTATCCATAATCATATTAAAATCCCCTGCCGTAATAACATAACCCTTCTTTACCTTCTCCATTGTTTTAAATAAGCATATTGTAAAAATCTCCTTTTTTATTATTAGGTGCATACACATTAAATAAAATATATTTTTCCAAACCCATTTTACCCTGTATTATTATAAATCTACCATTATAATCTTTTACTGCCTGTTTCACTATAAATTCACATTTTTTTAAAATTATAATTGCCACACCTCTAGATTTAGATGTTCCAAAGTTTTTTTCATAAATGTCTATATTATTCATCTTTAGTTAATTGACACGATCTTCTGACTTATGTGTCTCTTGCAGAAAGGCAATGTCCAGCTTATTTTGTTATTATTTGTCAAAGAGCCTTGTGGCGCAGTGGTTAAACCGCTGTACTGCAGCCAAAACTGTGCTCACGACCTGGGGTTCAATCCCAGGTAGCCGGCTCAAGGTTGACTCAGCCTTCTATCCTTCCGAGGTCGGTAAAATGAGCACCCAGCTTGCTGGGGGGGGGGCAATGTGTAGCCTGCATAATTAACTTGTAAACCGCCCAGAGAGTGCTTGAAGCACTATGGGGCGGTATATAAGCAGCACGCTTTTTTTGCTTTTTATTTTTCATCAGTAGAGATTCTATTCTTCTTCTTTTCACTGTTGATCCCAGGCCTTTCACGTTTAAAGTAGCTAGTCTTATTCTTTTACCCATTTGAGTTCAAGATTTCTCCTCCTAACAGGCCCTGTGTGCAACCCCTACCCCTACCAAACTAACAAAAATAGACTAAAACTTAAACTCAACATAACCCAAACATACAATACTTTACCCCTAATGATCCAGTGAACATATATCTTTTTTTCCCCACCCCACCATATTCCCCCACCATAACTACTAGCAAGGGCACAAGGTGGAGGGGGACTGCCACCACCATCCGGCAGAACTACAACCAGAACCTCGCCTCTGCTCTTTTTATAAAATGTTTGCATTTCTTCTTAATACTTGACAACACTGAAGCCCCCTTTTCCACCCCTCTCCCCCGTGTAATTATAAGTTAAAACCAATTAAAATCCAGAGTGAGGGCACAAGATGGGGGGGGATGCCACCACTGCTTGGCGCAACCGCACCCAGAATCTCACCTCTGTTCTTTTTATTACATTTTAGCATTTCTTCTTAATATTTAATAACATTGAGGATCCCTTTTCCACCCCTCTCTCCCCTATAATTATTAGTAAATAAATAATTTAAATCCAAAATTATTAGCAATTTAAGTTTTGTTATTACTGTTGCTATCTAATATTAATATAATTAGTATAGTTATTACTAAAAAGTAGAAAAAAGAAAATCAATATGAATGAATGAGGAAAAGAGAGTCCTCTAGTCCTTCAGGAATCTAGTCCTTTCTGCTTCAACCTTCTATTTTTTTGCTTGAAGTCAGGGTTAACTCCTGACTTTCGACTTCTTCCTGCCAGCACTTTTGGAGTTTTTGAGATTATTACTAAAAAGTAGAAAAAAGAAAATCCATATGAATGAATGAGGAAAAGAGAGTCCTTCTAGTCCTTCAGGAATCTATTCCTTTCTGCTTCAACCTTCTATTTTTTGCCTGAAGTCAGGGTTAACTCCTGACTTTCCGCTTCTTCCTGCCAGGTTTTTTGGGGATGGTTTTTGTTTGTTTGTTTTGTTCTTGGAATTTCTCTGAGCATTGAATGGTCTGACCTTGGGATGAATTTGCTTGGACATCCACTCCTGGGAAGATTGGTAACTGTCTTGAATGTTTCCCACTTGTGAATCATCTTCCCCACTGTAGAATGATGGATTTTAAATTGTTCGAAATGGAGTTATAACACTTCCCAGATTGAGGGGCAGCAACAATTGCTTCTCTACAATCATTACTGATGTGTTTCCTCCTTAGCATTGTGTTAACACAGGCCTGAATGCTCTGGACCAGCAAACTGCTGAAATATCAGCTTTTGTAGAGGTGGTCACACTTGCTGATGATCAGTTACTCAGTGGCATCTGGTTAGTAGCACGTGGCTGCTATTTAGCCTCTTAATTCCTATGGAAGCAGTTAGGGTATGCGTAATTTTTCATACATGGCTTCTCCATTTTGGCTTTATTTTTGTTAATTAAATCATGACATGGTGTAATATGTCATGTGTTGTTGTTCATCTGAATTTACCGAATTTTCAGACCTGCTAAGGGCCAGAAGCTTTTTATTATGTCCTAATATGTAAAACCATAGAATTAAAAGAGAGTGTACTTTCTTTTTCACATCTGTATATTTTAAGTGTAAATAATTTTAATATTTATGTTACTGCCATTGAATAATTAATTGATTGATAGAATTATAACAAAGTTGTGTAAATAATAATAACAGTAGAGGTGTGGACCTCAGCAATTAGCTCTTTGCCTGCAACTACTGCACAAGAAAACTGCAAATTTGTTGGATATGTTATTTTCTCTCCAATCAGAATATTTATTTATTAATTTATACACTTACAGTGTTATGCACTACAGGTATATTCATTGAAGTTATATATGTCTGGTATTTTGATGAACATGCAGTCAGAAGTATGGGAATAAAAAGAGGAGGATTCAAATAGCAAATCAGCCCAGGATGAATGAGTGAGAGGAAATGCAAGTAACTTGTTCCAGTCACACCCTATTTCTTTCTTTTGTCTGTTCAGGCAACTTTTCAAGAGGAATGCAAATTCAAAGAAACTCTGCTTCCCAACAACTACAATGCCTATGAATCATTTATGTACAAAGGTTTCTACATAGCACTCAGCAAATATGGACGCATGAAGAGAGGAAGCAAAGTTTCTCTGGCTCAGACTGTCACACATTTTTTACCCAGATTGTGAAGACTACAGTACAATGTACTAAACTGTTCTATCTCATTTGCACATGTGAATAATCTCCCAGGTAAAGAATTTATCTTACCTTTTTGTGATATATATAAATATTTATGTATGTATATTTGGATGAAATAATTTATACAAACTCTGCAACAAGATCCCATTTCTTCATACTTATGAGAAATGTGTCAAGAAGATAAAAAACTACTGAAAAAAAAGTCCCAAAATCTAACACTCTGTCTAATTCTCTTGATAGCTGGATTTTTACATTTAAGGATTTGCAGAACTGGTGGCTAGTTCAACATGGACACTTTTCACAACCACTACTGTTTTTGTGAAATCTTGACAAAATCAACAACACATATTTGACATTGTCCGTAATACTATGAATAACTTTTCACTTGTGTCATTCATACAAGAAGCTTTTGCTTACTGTGCTCATTATATTAGAGCATTATATTAGGGTTTTCAAATGGTATCCCTAAGAATGCTGAGGGATCTTTTCTTTATTTTGAAAGTTTATGAGGAGTTGGCAGTGTCCCTGAACCTGCCCATTTTTTTCTTTCCTTTGGCTTAACATTTCCTCTTAAAGTTATTTTGTGTTTTATTTCAGTCTTAGTGTTAAAGATCAATAATATTGGTGTTAAAGATCAATAATGTAGATTTCCCACCAGTAACAAATCTCCCATGCAATATACAGATAGGGCTCACAATTCGTTCAAACAACACAAGATACAAAAGGCCTCACTCGTATTCTGAAAGGAGTGAGGACTGGGAGGCTCTTAAGAACATGCAGAGGTTTTGTGGCAGACAAGCCAGAAAGGAAAAAGTGCCCCCCCCAACCTAGAACTAATTTAAAATAACATAACATAACTAGATTAAATTCAGATTTTTTTTTAATGAGTTGTGTCAGGGATTCCAAATCAAAACCTTAGGGGGAGGGACTGTGATAGCTATGGTGCTCAATACAAGCAGCATCTGATAAATTCTAAGGTACTCTTACATTCAAAAGATATTCTTAAAATATGGAGAATTCAGAATCCTACGTTCAGCATAAACATAGGCAAACAGAACCATACATATAAAACTATAGTCATAACACCAAATATACAACACTAATCTACATTGTTGTTTTGACTTATTTGCTTCCCCATAGTGCTAAAGCATTTTGGATGGTTTACAACAGAATTATGTGAGCAACAATCTCCCCCCCCCGCGCGCACGCGCAAGGTAGATATTCATTTTACCAACCTAGGAAGGATGGAAGGCTGAGTCAAACATGATCTGGCTGGAATGAAGCCAGTTTAACTATTTTGCCATGAGGCTCATATAATTTAATAGGAGATGGGCCAATGTAGTTAACTGTCAGAAAATTAGTTCCCATTGTTACCTAATATGGAAATAATTGATGAAGATGAATGGTTTTAGATTTTCTACCTAGAGAAATAAAACTGTTATCTCAGAGGAACTGTTGCTGATTGAAAGAACGATGGGATGTATTTTATATTATGCATTAAACACTGCTCAGGCCTCCTGGGCGCTGGTATGGCCCCATATGAAACCTCCTCTCTAAAATCCATCCCTGTGGATATGTTAAGAGTTACTCCAAACTCATGTGAAGCAGCATATTGTGTGGAAAACGTGTAGAGTTAAGTAAGCCTTTTAAAAGGGAATTGTGCCCCATATTTTCTTAATGTCTAGCCTCATGGCTCCCCATAACACAGTGTGAAAACCACCAGTAAGGATCCAAGCCAGGATAGACGTCTGACAACATTTCAGTTTTGTGGTCCAATGATTTAATGCACACAGTAAGACTGATGAATTCCAGAAGCAATTATATTTTTGAAATAATTGGGTAAAATACTGTCTTAGATGTTATTCCCAACTAGAGTGGGCCATTTAGTGTTGGATTACCAAAGTCCCAATTTTAGTGGGAGGAGCAACTGGATGTAAGCTATTATTTCTAAGTAAATGCTTCTTTGAAAATCTTGCAGGTTCTCTGTCTGTCCACCCTATGCCTCAGCCTCCCACCTCAGAAAATTCTCTCCAAGAATACATGTGGAAGACACTCAACTTTGTTCATTTGTTTATATAACCTTTCCCCAGAATACCAGGCATGCCACATTCCCTGCCTTTAAAGCTTATTTTAAGAGGCCCTTAGTCAATAGGCACTATAAATGTCTGTGATCAGAAGCTTTGAGATGCCTGAATGGACAGGGGCTCTCCTAAATTTGAAACATCATTTAGTCTGATGTCAGAACATGGGAATTTTTAGGGCCGTCTTACAGCTGAGCCATATGTTCAAGAGAGAGAGGTATATCTTACAGAAATACTACCAGTATTAAATGAACCCATGCAGCAACTGCAGATTTTTCAGGAATACACTGATATTTTAGAAGATATATTTATTTCATTCCTATATCTCCCTGCATGGAATTCAGAAATGTATTTATTTTAGCTTTAGGGTTAGTCGGTCTTAAGGAATTGCCTGGGTATGCAGGCAGGGAAAGGACTCTCGGGGTGAGAGACACTGGGGGAGAAGAAAGGGCTCCCATGGGCTGGCTTTAAAACTTGGGCAGCTCTCTGTATCCATTCCAAATTACCACCAGCACTCATTCTCCTAGCATGGAAACGTGTGTGTGCCTTGCACAACTTCGCCAAAAAGCCAGGAGAGACAGGAGAAAAAGAGCTGCTGAAGGAACAAATGGGAGCCCTTTCACAACTTGGAAGCAACAACTGTTTTTAGACTGAGGGCTCCTCCTGCCCATAATCAATAAGGATTGTGCAGCTAAACTGCCCTTTTTTTCTTAACAAATTCTCTGGGATGGTGAAAATGAGAAAAGAAACCAAGGGAGAATATGGGTGGGCTGCAAACTGAAGTTTACTGTGCTTAAATCTCCTGCAAAATAGGGCATCCCCAGGCCACAATAAAAGTGCAACTTACAAGTGCCCTCGGACTCTATTAATGCATTCTAAAATTGCAACAGACTTTATTTCTGCTGCATCATAAGCAGTCACTTGTCCATTTTCACTTGCAGTCCTGGCACCTCATAGATCATGCTTCCTGAATGAGATTGTCATATTAGGAACTCAGTGGAAGCAATTTTCCATACATTTATAGGATTATTTAATGTAAGAGTATTTTTTTTTATTTTCAAACAAATTAAAAAGCACTGATAACATAATGGAACACAGAATGGGGAGGGAAAGGAATCCTGATCACATCCTGGTGTAGCGCCTGGCTGAATCTGATGAAGGGCCAGGTTAGGCTTTGATGACAAGTCAAAGCCCTTAAAATAGTGGCAGGTAATCACTGCTAATTTTAATATCATTTTTTTATATCAGTGAGATTGGATCAGCATTATCTGGAGTAATTTCTTGATGACAGCAGTTAAACTATTAAAATCCTGATGCCTTGGGAATAACTGACATAAAAACCATACATTGGAAGAAAATTGTGGGAAACTCCAATGATAGTAGGGTAGGGCTATTCCACTTCAGCCCATGTGTGTCGGGAGCCAAGCCTCTTACATGAAGAGGAAAAATTTCCACTTCCAGCTTGTCATTTCAGATTCAGATTTGTATGGAGCTTTTCACATGCAAAACTTTTTAATATAAAAATAACATTTTTCATCAGAATGTTAACATGATCATGTTAATTCTGCTCCTTTGGGAGTTTCATACTGCTACATGTGTGGAGGAGGAAGGAAGAGTAGTTTAGAAGGGGAAAGTTGGTATCATGTAGAATTATAGGGTGCTTCCAGAGGGGCATTTGTATCTCTTCATGTTCCCAGATCTCACAGAGCTTTTTCCTACCATCCAGATGCTATTCTCCTCATCCTGGTGCATACAGGCACAAAGAGAGTTTTGTTTATGAGTTCCCTCACCTTTATGTCCCTCCAACGTTGGGCTTGTTTTGTGTTGTTTTGTTGTACTTCCTGTTTCACCCCAAAGCCTGTCCCCCTCCCACTATGTCTTTTAAAAATGATGTGAATGCCTGCACTACATTCAGTCTTAGCTAAAAGGCTGAGAAGCAATTCTAATGTCCACATCCAAAAGTGCTGGTGGTTCTGTGCTATGGGGCTTCCTAAATTAAAATATAATTTTTTAAAGAATAGGAAATGATAAACGGATGGGTAAGGAAGTTAGAGAAGGTGGCAGTGTGGCAGCAGTAGCAATAGCAGTGTTGAAGAACTGATGGCAGGACAATTTTTAGAATCTTTTTCTCTTTTTTAGAGTTGTGCCAAGAAGCACCAGGTGGAAGGAAATAGAAGGTGAGAGAAAGGCTGGTACTGTAGATAACTTCAGGGGAACCCCCCCCCCCACCGCCACTCTAAGGGTACCAGAGTGGAGAAGCAGCTTAGTACGAGGTCACCTATCAGCAGCACGTGGCTCCAAATATATAAGTCATGTTCCTTATTCCCCAAATTTTTACTATGTTTATATCCATATTTTTCTAACTCAGGACATTTCTATATCCAGTACAAGAATCAGAAGGTTTCAAAGCTAGGACCTTAAGACCACCAACAGTCTATGTATCCAGACTGTGACACATTCAATTTTGCATGGAGTATGCAGGAAAGTTAAATACCATTGGACAGTTTTTGCTCACATGCACTGTTCCCAAATTGAGGCACCCTAGTAAGAGTGCTTAGTCAAGGGCCCCATATCCTGGTGCTATGTAGATCTGTTTACATCAAGGATTTTAAAACAATAACCCTAAAGCCTGGGAGAAACCCAATTAAACCCAGTGGGACTTACTTCTGAATAAACATGTATATCCACTATAATCCATGTACTGTAATGGTCATTTCCCCTCCCTTGGCCTCTACTTACAATCTCCATTCTCTAAAGCTCTACTTAATGCTGTTATTAATCTTGCAGTTTCTCTGTTTTTTTTCCTGAGATTGATGATTTATGCATCATTTTTCTGTTTCCTATTTATTCCATTTCCCTGTGTACCCTTTCACTGTTATTGTCAGATGCAAAGAAAATTGTGAGTTAGAAGATGGACCATTATTCTAAATGGC